ACATATATCAAACCAATCTGAGATGGATGATGTTGTACATGAAATAAGAAATATTTTCTCCGATACTTGTAAACCCGTTTTTGGTGTTAAAAAATGTATACACGCCTTGTAATAATGACAAAAACACTAAACAATGGTTTTCACATGAATGTGCCAAGAAAAGACGCGAGTTTAATATCGCTAAGCATAACTATAAAATGATAAAAAAATAATTTGAACAGGAAAAGGTTGAAAAATGTTATATAAAAAATGGAGGGAGAAATAAGAAAAACCTCAAAAAGAGATCCTAAAAAGTTTTGGGATATCTTGAACAAAATAGATTGTACGAGGAAAAATATCAGTGTAGATAAAAAAAAAATAGATGAAATTTTCAATTATTTTAAAAATCTTAATACTGATAACAGTGACGTGGAAAATATTAAATACTGGTATAATACCTAAGTCATTGACTGTGGGGCTAATTAAACCAATATACAAAAACAAGAGCGACATTAATGACCTTGACAACTATAGAGCAATAACTTTAGTATCGTGTTTGGGAAAACTTTTTACATCTATACTAAATGATAGATTGAATCAATTATCTGATCAAATAAATCTTATTCATGGAAGCCAAGCTGGCTTTAGGAAAGGTTATTCTACTACAGAAAATATATTTGTAATGCAAACACTAATATCAATGTATTTCTCCTATAATAAAAAGTTATATTGTTCATTCATTGACTTTAAAAAAGCCTTTGATACAGCGTGGAGGGTTGGACTTTGGGAAAAAGTGCTGAGAAGCAATATTAATGGCAAAATACTAAATGTAATCTATAACTTATATACTGATACTAAGTCATGTGTAAAAAATGGAAACGAGCAGACTCAGTTCTTCACGAGCAATATCGGTTTAAAACAAGGGGAAAATTTATCGCCATTTTTATTTTCGATCTACTTGAATGATCTAGAGGAGTTCCTGTCTAATAATGAGGTGAAATGTCTCAAAGATATTGATAATCTTAGTCAAAATTGTATTGGAATGTACCTAAAATTGTTTATTTTGTTATATGCGGATGACACTGTTGTACTGGCAGAATCGCCCGAGGGTCTACAGAAAGCTTTAGATGTCTTCGGCGATTATTGTAAAATATGGAAATTACATGTTAATACAAATAAATCTAAAATAGTTGTCTTTTCAAAACGAAAATCGAAAATCAATAGTACATTTATGCTTTGCGGAGAGGAAATTGAAATTATAGATTCTTATCCGTACATTGGGTTATTGTTTAACTATACTGGACACTTTTGGTAAGGCGAAAAAGAAACTAGCTGAACAAGCCCAGAAGGCATTATTTGCTTTATATAGGAAAATCAGAAATATCAATTTACCAGTAGACCTACAGTTTGAACTTTTTGATACATTAATATTGCCTATACTGTTATACGCGTCAGAGATATGGGGATTCGAAAATATTACCCTCTTGGAAACGATACATTTGAAATTTATAAAAAAAAGTTCTCAATTTAAGGAAATCTACGCCTAATTATATGGTATATGGAGAATCGGGACGTTTTCCTTTAGAAAATACTATTAAAAGTAGAATGCTTTTATTTTGGCACAAACTAATAACAGAAAATGGTAAAGTATCGAGTCAGTTATATAAAATCATACATGCAATGCACGAAACGGGCGCATTTCACTCGAAGTGGCTAAATTTTATCAAAACTACAATAAATGATCTAGGGTTGACATATATCTGGACATCTCAAAAAGTGAATACTCTAGAACGACAAAAACTTAAACATGTTATAACACAAAAGATTAAAGACCAGTTTATTCAAAAGTTGTATGTTGATATCGAAAAAAGTAGTAGAGGACAAAATTATCTATTATTTAAATCTAATTTTGGTTTTGAAATATACATTATTTGTTTAAATGTCAACAATAATCCATACGCCAGATTAGGGAAAAATGTATTCCAAAATATTATTACACCAACCCAAATGTTGATAAAATGAAATGAATGTTTACAATATGTAACAAACGATTAATCAAAAGGGTTAGTACATTTCTTGTAAAACTGCAAGTACTTATAAAAAAATAACAATTGAAATAAATCAGTATGTCAAAAATACTATACTTTGCATTATGATTATGGCAGTGAAGATAATTTGCTGTGAAAATTGAATATTCAATACATGTATATCTAATGCTGATAAATCTGTTCATGTATATGCTTACTGTGTCACATGCATGAACTAATGCTTAATCTGTCTATGAAATAATGCTGAATCTGTCTATAAAATAATGCTTAATCTGTCCATGTGTAATCTACTCTCTCTGTCATGTTTTATTTGATTGATGCTATTTTGTTTGACCTCTTGTTACACACTTTGTGTGTCAGAGCGTGATAAAAAAATCTTGAAAATCTTGAATCTTGACAGGTTATAATAACAAGTGTGGTTTAAGCTGGTGACAGTGCGTCTGACAGGTTATAATAACAAGGTGTTGTCCTCTCCTGTAAATTGCGCTAATTATCTTTATTCAGGTTCATTTTTTGTATTCACACAGCCTTCTGAACGTCCCATTTATTTGAACGAAGAATTAGAATAAATTTTCGTTTCTTCACTGCCAAGTTACAGTACAAATCCCGATCCAGCAACACACATGTGCATGGCTTATTTACTTACTGACACTGTAGTCTATGTTACACATTTATTTGTCGACTATTTGTGAAGGTTTTTCTAGGATTCAAACCTACGGTTCAACTCTTACTTTATTGTATGCTCTAACAGTTGACGATATCTCCATTCACATTCCGATACTACTTTTGATTTCCTTGAGTGTCTTCGGGATGTTTGACTTTCTCATATTGCCTAATCCTTTTGCTCTGAGAGAAGGGCCGAACTTCTAGATTCTTCGGATATACATGTATTACGTCTTTCTGTACGACATAAGGTAAAACCTAAACATCTTGCTTCTGTTTATACTCCAGTCCCTTGTGTATGCAGCACTAGTACCGAGTACCTAACAGAATCACTGACATGCATCACGTCTCCATTTTATCAAAGTAGAGCTTGAAAACGTAAATCTAATGTACACTACATCTGGACCTTCACGTCGCGAAAAAGTCCCTACAAAATCTCATAAGCTCATCGTCGCATTCTACTGCATAATTCTGCCATATTGATGAAGCTAGATGCAGCCGGCAGAAATTTCCACCGACGATGTAATAAACATTATGCAATGAAATAAAATGTGGAAAATGGACAGGTGTGATTATGGTTCACTATTTTGAAGAAAAAAAAGAGAAACTAGATGTGCACGGATGAGAGGTTCATTCAGGGATTGTCAGGGGCTAAGGAAAGCGCTTGAGCCTGTCATGTGTCTTGGAAAGCAAACGCATTCTTCTTATTTGGCATATTTTGAACCCTCAACCCCTGTATCAACATCTGGATCTGCTAATGATAGCCTTGTGAAAGATTGACTGTAGCACTTTTCCAATCATTGACATTAAAGTAATCTTACACTTTTTCTTATAGGGGATTATTATATTTGGTTCCTGGTTAACGTCCATTACCACGAGTGTTCACCAGACACATTTATCGGCTGTCGGTAATTCACAGACTGGTTTTAATGTCCTTGGGGGACATTCCAATTAGCATTTCAAGGAAATTTGAGATGGCGCGAAATTACTCAATAATGCGACAAAATCTTTCGACGTTAACCTTTATGCCTATGTCTGTTTCTAAATGAAAAAAAGTCATCTACAAGAAAATATTTTTAAAAAATCACATCCTAGAATCAAACTGTATTAGTCAACATCTTTACCATAGGATACTGATCGCTTGGTCGCCATGGTGTTCAGGTGTTGCTGCATTTCCTTTGGGGTTTTTTTCGGTTCTCATTTGTTACCATTTTGTTGATGGTGTATTATCGTTTTATTAGACTTCATAAATTTCACAATGATTCATATGAAACTTTTGTAGGTTAGGATTGACCATCGTCAAATAAAAACATGTCTGTTTTAATTAGGCAATTGACATGTATAACTCCTGTGTACCTTAAAGATAACTATTAATGAAAGGTAAAGAGTCTTTGAACAGCTGTGTCCAGCGTATATATATAAAATGAAGTATGTAATGCAGGTACAATGTAACATGAAAGCGACTTTTCACACACCACACTACCGCGTGATGAATGCCATTTAGGTGATTTAAAACGGAAGTACAATATTGCGAAAAAAATCCTCAGCTTGGTATGAATAATAAAGACTAATTTTGGTTTGAAAACAAACAGGAATTAAAACTAATTTTGTTAGAAATCCTGTTTTCAATTCCTGTTTGTGTTCAAAACAAACTTAATCTTTATCGGAAGTGCACTACATTTTTATGAACCGAGGAACGGACGTACGTTTTTTGTAATTTGATTATCTGCTGTAGTGTACGCTACATGTAATTGAATCAAATAACCTCTTGGATGAATCTATAATATATTACAACAAATCTAACTGTTTTAATACTCTTCTTTAAGTTGTGCCAACCTGGTCACCAGTTTTCACGATCAATGACGCCAGTGCTCTTAAATGTATCGATAAATACACTTCCTGGATACGTGTCAGGTGTTTACAAACCAACAAGTACCTCCCTAAAAAACCTACCAAATTAGATGTTGTGAATACAGATCAATTAGCATAACTGTAAAATGAGTCGATTATAAATCTTGATTATCATTTAAGCGGCGAACGATTCCAAGGTTGTATTTAACGACTCGGGGTGCTATTGTATGTTAATATCAAGTATCTTATCACAACATAGTTTACTGTAATTTGCAATTTCAAATTTATAAACTCTCTTTTGTCAAACGAACCCTAAGGTTAATAACAGCCTGAAATACGCTTTATCAAGCTGGCTAATGAAGACAACTCAGACAATACAAGGTTGTTTTTCTGTTTACAGCCACATATACTCAATTACTTCTGGTACAACGAGAGGTTCAGTCAACAGTAACAACACCATACGAGAAAGGAATGACTTTAATTTTCTATGCAAATAAATCGCGCAATAATACAGATCGTCACTTTTCAATAGTGACCATACGTCGTACAAATATCACTGCCAAGTGAAAACAACACATACACATGTACAAACCTCGCACGCCACCGACCTGGTACAACGGAGTCTTAATAATCCGGGATAGAGCTACACATTGTTATATAGATTTTTATTACTTTACGCATTAAAACCTTGATTTGTGTTAAAGTTAAGAATATATGCTACCTTACACATTGACCATGAGCTATGTGTTTAAGTGATATCCTACCTTACACGTTGTATCTGTGATATATGCTAGAGTTCAGGGTATATTTTACCTGACACATTGCACATTTGCATAAATGTATAGGAATTATTTTTGAAGGGAGATAAATTTAAAAGGAAGCAATCGGAAATCTACTAAATGGGGGTATATGCTACAGTATGGTAGCGGAACGATTTTGGAAATTGTGTATAGGTAACAGAAAGGTAGCCATATCCTACCGTGACACTAAATGTCTCATTAATCTGTAAAATCCATTATGCCTGATAATTTGTCGGAGACAGAAATATCAGGGTCAAGGTTACTATATAGATATATATCGAAATGTTAATTCTTACAAATACATTCTCTCGCGCATGTCCTGTAGATGACACAGAAATGATGGAAATGGCAATACATCCGTGATAAGGACACTTGTTCCCCTCGTCAAATCAGCGTACTGGAAACTTAATCAGGAAGGTGCTGATTCTCGTTAATCCTTCGGGTTCAATCCTGATAGTTACCATAACAACATGTTGCAAAACTCCATAATTTTATACTTACAGATTACATATGTTTAAATTCAACGATGAACTGTTTTAACCGTACAAACTCTTAACTTCTATAGATCTTTATCTAATGAAAGAATGACTAGAGAATGTAAGTTATTATGTCAATTTTCTCCATGAAAATGAAGTTATGGCTTCACCTTAACTTTTAAAAATTATAAGAACTGTTTTAAAACGTTAAAACAACTTAAAAGATCTACAACTATTCATGCTATTCAAAAGTCTTATTTGTACAACTATTGCTAAGACAGTTTTGACAAAATGAAACGTCTACATGAAATTAGGTCCAGCTGTTGTAATGTCAGTTATGTATAAGGAAAGTGGAGAGTGCTCTAACTGATATACTATACTCGTAAACAAATCATCCTAACTGATGTCCGGATATTGTCCAAGCAGATCTCCTCAACTATTGAGGAGACCACGCCATCTTAACTAACCTAAAATGTAGACACTGGAATTACATGTTTCTGTTCCTTGTCAAGCTTCCGTCACAAGCAACTTCCACCCATCTCTGGCCAGCTTCGACAATCAATGTTTGCTTTATATCCATTGTTTACATAAATGTTGGCAATCTGAAGTCACAACGAATGCTATATATTTAGTATCCCTGTTGTTGATTGGAAGTCTGTGCTTGCTACGTAACCAGTATCCATGTTCTTGATTAAAGGTCTGTGCTTGCTACATAACCAGTGTTGCCTATGTGAAGCCACAGTGCATGTGCGTTGACCGGAAGTCACAGTGCTTTCAATATATCCAGACTATATGTTGTAGACCGGAAAGCAAAATGCCCGCTACAATGTATATGCACCGGAAGTCACAATGTATGTGCGTGAAGTAATAGTATACTATAAATGCAACAAAGACAGCGATACGCGCATGACATCAGCTCCACATGTCCTCCTGATTTTAAATGCAGCATTGCGTTTATAACAGCTCGACAAGCTAAGACACGACATGAACATGATTGGTCGCCATTAATCCCATTATTTCACAGCGCTTGCACGAACTATGGCATTTATTTTATACCTGTGATGCTATACGTACACCTTTATTTCAATACTTATGGTCCACCCCATGAACAACGTCCCATGTGATAGGGTTACGAAGTTTGGGAGGGGGAGCACTTTTACAACGCCTGCCCGGCCAAGTACCAGTCCTACTGACAGGGCGGCGCTCCTTCAGACTTAATTTCTGTATGGACATGGCCTCTGACACCCAATCAGGGTGGATCACAAAGTAGTCATGTTTTGGTTTATTGGGTACGAAAATACCTCCATCATAAGAATAATTTGTCTTTGCAGATTCAGGTCGCTTTTTGGGCGACGACTCAGTCTTTTTCTTGAGCTGGGGTGAATACGAGGCTCTTGTTGATGCACCGGAGCCAGAATAAGATTTACTAGACGTTGATGAAGAGGGACTAGCAGATCCGCTCGACTGGTACTGCCGCATCATGTGACTGTTGAGGTAACTAGTAGAGGGACAGCTATGACTGTACCACGCCTGACTTGTCTGATTCCGCCGCATAAACGAGTTGGACATTGATGGAGCGTCCATTGATAATGTCACGCGCTTTACGTCAACCGGCTTCTTCGGTTCCGTACTGAAATGATAGAGAAACAAACATTAAAGAAGTCGAAGGAGGAAGTTACTATGTCAGTTTAATTTCTGCAATCACAAGGAAATATGTCAAGGGCTGTATTGAAATTAAGATAAGGAGCAACGCTATAAACATAGGAAAGGGGAAATTATTGCAGCGGCTTCTTCTGGACGGAAAACAAGTAATGTGCCGTTCTTGAAAGAAACCATTTTACAAGACAAAAGAGCAAACTATAAAGGTAGCTTCTTCTGATGCGTACTGCGATTGTAGACGAACACGCATAGTTCTATACTGAAAAGAACGCAAACAAATACAATACAGGAGGAAAGTTCAAGTTATACCATAACATCTTCCTCCGTTCCCTGCTGCAAAGTTTGGCAAACAAGTGTTATACCGTAATGGAAATAAAGGTCTAGTACCATATAAGGAGTGTTGTTGCTTCTACATTAACATCTCTTTACAACGACACAGCTAAACACTATACAAAGAAATGATGCTGTGGGTTACCAGTATATAATTCTGTGGATTATACAGCATCTTTATTAGCCACCTTTATGAACGTCTCCCACTTAGACGTTTCTGCTAATCAAAAATGACAAAATTACAACATGTGTAATGACACCGCTGTATAATCTATATCTTCAAAACCCTGCAACGATATACTGTAAAGCAAAATCGTGAGATTATTATAAACATCTACAAACCTAGTGCTAGTCTGATTTACATGTATGTATGGGTCAATGTTACCACTGTAACGGTTCTATGTACTTTACTGACATCGTGTAAGAACATGTTAAATATACCTACAATTAAAGTTAATAACATTAATAACATTAAAATTAAATATAGTAAACTAAGAACTACCATTCCTTGTATTGCTGTTGTTTTGAGATTTAAAATTCAACAACAGGTAAGCAAATATCAACACTTATAGAGATAGCAATGTAGTTGTCAATTCTGTATGCAAGAAAACACCTCGTTCTCAGTCGCATGTCGGTTATGCTATCTGGCCCAGACTGCAATGGCAATTATCAGACACCAGACAAGATATCCGATTGACTTTTTGTACGAGCCGCCAAACAGCATTGCGGAGTCTGACTTAGTCTAACGCTTCCGAGGGTAAATGAGTTATAACCGAGGGGACGGGGAACGAAACGCCAATGACAGGAAAATTTAATTAAAGCATAAACGTCAACTTGGATCTATACAAATACTTTTTGTCTGGAGCTACAGGTCGATGATTGCTGGTAACAATCCAGAGATTAATTCGTGGAAATCTAGAACTATTTTTTTTGTAATTGATTCAGAAAGTTGGTAATTACTTTAACCAGGCACCTGTTATCAGAAAATTAAATCAAAATCTTAAAGGTGCACAGCTGATTTTTACATGGTAATAGAATGTTCCTGTATATATCAATAAATGTACAGCGGTAAAGTATGTACTCAACTTAACTGGAATCTAATGACAGATAGAGACTGGGGTGATGTCAGTAAAGCAATACTGTAACGGATGTCTAGACAATGGCCTGACGACAGACTGGATATTCTCAATACATCATGGTAGGAGCTAGATCACAGACAGACACCACCTATCGTCTTCTAATGGAATGGGTTTTACGTACATATCGGAGAATACGGATTACATAACAGCAGAATGGTGGATGATAGAACAGTTTTCTATCAATCTTAAATGGTGTCAATAATCTTTTATCATACTATACACCAATAAGTGTTAGGTATACATTATATAGATTTTAACAGTATCACATTCATACACTAACACATTAAAGCATTATTCCGCAGACTTACTACAGTTACACATCAACGTGCCGCCCTGAAAATACCAAACACACCAAACTACTACATATAGACTATTAATGTAACCTCAGTTTAACACTTAATACAAACGTATTGTGTGACCCCTAAAAATCACTTTACATAAACTTTTTGTGTCGCCCACATTTGACATTGTATACTATTTGTTTCAACACAGTGAAACATTAAATAAAGGCTATCTTGTGCTACCCCAATTAAATTCTAAATATATAATGTTAATTTAATCTTAGACATATACTTCAATGCAGAACATGTATGTCACCGTATTTAATGCTAAGCACACAATATTAAAAATAAATGTCATAAAAAAATCAGACACTCACAGTTGGTATTTTTTGACACATATTTTCCTATCTTCGAATAATAAGTTATTTTCAGCAAATCACTGTCGATATGCTACAGGAATTTAACAAACCTTTAACTATTTATCTAGTTCTTTAAGGAAGTCCACTAATACTGAATATAGTAAACCAAATGATGGTTAGGACCAAATGATGGTTAGGACCAAATGATGGTTAGGACCAAATTATGGTTAGGCCCAAATTATGGTTAGGATCAAATTATGGTTAGGAACAAATGATAGTTAGGACCAAATTATGGTAAGGACCAAATGGTGGTTAGGACCAAATATGTACGCTATACTGTTACAAGTATACAAACATCAAGAATGGTGGAAAACAGGGAAATTATCTTGTATAAAATGTTTCAGGTTTAAAACATCTTTTGTGGTTGCTTCCCTCACAACGTGTACATGTGTTAGAAGGGGAAGTGATGGTCGATGTGTATCAGTGTAAGATAACGCGGTTCCAGCTTCATCGGGTCATTATCCTGGTTTACAGGAGTCAAGTCACTGATTTATGTCTAGATCTGGTGAACCACAGCTCACCATAGGGTGTATTGATATTATTGGTGCCGAACAACGGAGATCGATATATTGGACGCAATACACACACTATAAAACAGTAGACACTTGTTACCGCTCTCTGGTATGGCGGTCCTCCTTGTCAGGACACAAAGCCTTTCCTATATGGAACTGAACATATTGTATCATCATAACAGTGTTTTTTTGTGCAGCTGTCACCGCCCTCCGAGTCGAGTTAGGAGATAAATATTGATTAACTACTCGGAAAGGGAATTGTTTTAATACAGGTCTTAACACCAGGTACATTTGTAAACTGATGACGAGTAGTTGACTTAACACACTGCACGCGCCATTCACGCACTTGAAGGGTTCATTCAGACTGTTTTATACATAACGCGTGCTTTGTAGATATGTATGTAATATTGATGGGGAGATATAACAAACTGTTGTTGTTATGGTGATCATCCTCACGTGAAGTGCTAATAGTCAAGGAACAAAACAAGAGATGTTCAATACAAACCGCTATGTTGTTTAGGAGGTTCCAAAAGGTGTTTTTGTGAATTTGTAGCATACATGTATGTAAGACTTATATTGTTATCTAGCAAATAGATAAACCTTTATGGTACAAAAACAAACACTGGGAAATAGATATAAATCTACATATAGATATAGATATGAATGCAAAAAATACATTTATTCAAAATAAGACCCACCACCACCACCACCAATCCTGACAGTTCTCCAAAACCAATATGGATATATGTACCAACAAAGATATAATCGTATATATCAACATGCTAGGGAAATAACCTTAGATAACTCGTTAATCTATACAGCTTATATAGTTATATAACAAATACATATCGGTTGTCATGACTTCTGTATCTTTATTGTCCTCAAAATAGCATGACAGCATATAGGCAAAGGAAGCCATTCCTATATGGAACTGAACCGCGGATGTGCTTCATGCGATTAACCGTGTATAACATTTGTCATATTTGAAAATAATTCCAGGAAAAACAGTAACTTTTGCTAGGCGGGGATGCTATGTTTGCAATGCCTCCGAGACAATCAGACTGGTGAATACCGCGCTACCTGATTATATAAGGCGATTAGGCTTAGCCAGACATACTCCGGTCTTTGTAGTCGATCCCGAGTGTTCTAACGCCCCTGGATACTGTCGCCAATTTATCCCATATCTGTATGCTCCTGTGCTATCTTACATCATTTTCATCTAATGAAGCCGACTAACTCAACACAAAGCTAAACCTTAAAACAGAAGGACCCTTGGAGGGTATTAAAACGTCGCTATTGCTCTCTTTATTGTGTGTATACATGCGAACCATACCAATATGTTATATAATTCTGACATATGTTGTGAGCACTGTTATCGCTAACCCCTATCCAGACTACAGTAGCACCTGTTCAGGTCTTTTTAAATTTATATGTTGGTATAACCATCACAGCTCTGTCAGGAAGTATAACAATAACAGCTTTGTCAGGAAGTATAACAATAATAGCTTTGTCAGGAAGTATAACAATAACAGATTTGTCAGGAAGTATAAC